TACATGCCACCAAGAGGGAACACTCTTTATTTACACCTATTCTGAGCAGCTGTGGCAGCAACTTTATACAGTGTGAAGCCCCACAGTCAATCATACATAATAAAAGTGAAGCCTATGTAAGTCCTTGAGACACAGTGAGAGCCAACTCCTCATAAACCGACAACAGAGCTTACAAACAACTACATGGCTGTCATTTTTGAATAGCCCTATATCATAAAATTTATATTTTACTTTAATATAAAGGCAATCCAGGCACTTCAAAATTTTTACAAAATTATAAGAATGGGGAAAGAAGGACCTTTTCGAAGTATACAATTTAAAGGTAGAGGCATACAGATTTTAGGGAAAAAAACACATTCAAGAAAACATTAATGTATCTTCTATCTTAGAGGATAGAGGATGAGAAGGAGAATGGACAGCCAGTTAAATTGAAATTATTTCTGATTCAATAATAGAGTTTATATTTTCCACTAAGTTTTTGTCAAAATTAAGCAAAATCATTAAAAAGACTTAAAGGTTAGAATATATAAAGAAAACTCTGTTAGAGGATCCACTCTACCAATTAATCCTTATTCTAAATTTATGCTAGGTACTGTGGTAAATGCTGAAGACATGCCAGAAATTAATTCAGATCCCTGCCATTACATAAGGCTTAGGTAGGCTCAATATAAGATGTTTACAGTGTTTATATATACATGTCTCAAAGGGATAAAAGATTCAGGGTGAAAACCCACCATAGATTGGTGGAAGCAATAAACAGAGGAGGCTTCAGAAATATGGACTTTAAGCCATTTCTTAAAGAATAGGTTGAATTTGTATAAGAAGGAGGATAGGAGCTAATGATTAGCTAGATCTTTAATGTAAAAGCTCAAACTTATGTTTAAAGCACTATAACCACTCATTTAAATTTTGTTCTGAACCTCAATTTATACAGTATATATAAACATTTACAATTTTCTTTACAAGTAAATAGCATCACCAGCAGTTTTTTATAATCCTTAAGGGTATATCCATAAAAAAGGATACTTTACTATTGATAGGGTGAGATAATATCAAACATAAATTAAATAATAACAGAACTCACAATCCTACTACATCATCATATTTATACTTTAAAAAATTTACTTCCAGTGTTTCCTTGTAAACTCCCTTGCTGGTATTTTTCAGGATATTTGTATTTTGTTCTTATAATTGGAACTCAAGAAAAATTTGTTGAGAAATCAAGAAAGGGATTGTTCTGCAAGGTTTAAAGCTGAACAGTCCACCTAGAGACATCACTGAAGGAAGATAAGCTGATATGCAGAGGCCAAGGGTAAGGCTGCCATTTCACAGGCAGGAGAGAAATGCCCATGACCTCATTGGTCAGTCTTGTCTGTATCTGTAGTTATGAGCATCCATCTATAGTCCTCTTTGGCTAATGGTGAATCATTTTTGCAAATAAGGTATCCAAGAAACAACAAGTTTAGAAAACAAAATAAGCCCTTAAAATGGCAACTTCAACATGTGAGTCTATGTGTTGCTGTTAACCTTGCTAGGTGAGCGTAATAATATAGTATTCAAATACTGTCCAGTAATGATCACAAGTGGTTTCCAGTATTTGAATATTCACTGTACACTGCAGTTCCTTGCAAATACCACTAATCTTAAAGTTTCATTTATATTGAACAATTTTCTAAAGATATCCTTAATAATTACTAAAGGATATGAAGAATGGTGAGATTATTTTTAAGAATGACATGATTTTGGCAATTTCCAAGAATTCCTAAGAATTCAAATTCTTTGTTTCCAAATCTGAGATTGGTATCTGATTAGAAACACCATACCTTTGAATCTTAGTTCACAGGAAACAGTGTAAATAACAAAATTTTTGAAGTTTATTCTTACCAGACTTTCTAATGATATTTTCCTGTGCATCATGATTATTCTTAAAGCATAATATTTGTCTCTGACTCAGTTTGACTTCATTTCTGTGATTTAGCAAATTCTGACTGTTTCTGCAGACATACAGATTTGGGGTGGATTAGTTCTTGACCTCACTGCTTTACAAGTTTTGTTCCAAGACTTGTCTATCACCATAATCAAGTTCTATTATTTAAATTTCTTTTACTTAGAGCAATATGAAGATCTAAGAATAGTTCAATTACCATGGGATACTTCAATTGCAATCCAAATATTTTAGAGCTATTTTAAATGTATATTTTCAGGGGTCTGCTTGGAGATTTCAACATTCTCAATTCACACATTATAAGAAGTAGGCTTAGGAAGTGACTAAAACAAAACTCCAAGAATTGTAAGAAGAGGATGCATTTTGATAAGAGTATAAAAATGATCTACCTCAAATAAGGCCACATTTAACACCCTTGCTTGTCTTGTGGAAATTGACACATCACGTTTTCTTTTTCAAACCCCTGAAGCCATCTGTTTTCAGAAGAAGGTCAAGAAGGAAGAATGCTGTCTTCAGCATCATTCTGATTTTAAACCTAAAATTACATCTGCCCTGGATTCTGGGAAACATTTTTAAGCAATAAAATATTTCATCTAATAAATTTGCTCTGATTCCATGTTCACATTTCCAGTGAATACTGGGAAATTCAAGAAATTGTGAGTCAGAGGTGACATAAAATGGTAGTTAAATGTTTATACTTATTTAAAAAATATTTTCTTAGGAGATACCAGGTGTTTATTACAGTGAAAAATGGGAACATTACTTTTGCTAGAAGTCAATAAAATACCCTAAAAAGATTCACTAAGTCAAGAAAACTCATTGACTTACTAATAAATCACATGACAAGTTCCACATGATTGACATGTTTCTTTCTTAATTGTCTACTCAAAACTAGCAATGTACTTGAAGAGTGAACAGACAACTATTTTCCATATATGTTGTATAGAGACAAGCATGTGAAACCTTTATAAAATGAGAAACCCAAAGTGTAAAAAAGCAGGGTGCAGACAGGGACTATGAAGTTGTTCAAACTGCTGCTGAAAGGAAGTCAAAGCTATGGTGCCATTTATCTCAAATTTCCACAGGTGATTCCTGACATAACTGGTAAATGCAAATTCACTTGTTTTCTGCATGGGAAGATAAAAACACCAAAAACAGCACCACTTAGCAGAGCTGAAATTGTTTTTTGTCTAAAGATATTTGCAGTGTATATGAACAACTGCATGGTACATCTATAGGCCCAACCTCAAACTCAAAAGTAGCCACATGAGTTTCCTGAAAGAAGGAAAGAAAAAACAGAGGAAAATGGGAAATAAAAGGGTGATGACATAACTCCAGTTGACTGTGAATAGTGATTTATTTTATTACCTAAATTTTGAAAGTAATCACAAGTATTCTAATTTAAGACAATGAGGCATTCCAAAGTAGCTAAACTATAAGGGTGTGCATAAAAAAATATCCCTGTCAATTGCCCCTAAGATACCTTAAATTGTCCAGAAAACTAGAGGTGCTCATTCCACTTGTCTGTGCAGACAAGTCTGCAGTGTGCTCCCAGTTCACTCCTGTCCGAGTACTGCAGGCTCAAGGACCCCTTTACTTGACCAAAACATGGCTATGCTGTATCTTAATCCTCCACACCAGTCGCTTGTCATTTCCAGAGTGAGAACTAACTTATTTAAGAACTTAGCCTTGGTTTCTAAGTTATTAGAAGATTAAGAAAGGATCTCCCCCTCCCCTATCTCTGTCATTATTTTCCTTAGTGGCTAGAAGTTTCAGCAGCATTATCTTGGCTAAATTACCCAGTCTTTGTGCTCTCAAGTTTCTTCATTTGTAACGTAAAGGTCATACAATGTTTTCACTAGGCTACTATGAAGATTCATCAAGATAAACTTGACACATTTTAATGGTATATATCCTATAGAAAACAATAATATTTAGCAGTTACTGTGGTTTTGTTGTAGTTGCTATTGTCATTGTCCCCAAGTAGTGGGGACGTGTGACCAATGGCAGGTTGAACCATAAGGCCTTGCGCTGTAAACTTACCAAGGACCTGAGTCTAGTTATTCTTCTCTCCATCTGTTGCAGTGTTTGAATACACAGGGGGTTCTCAATAAGTATTCTTTTTAACAAAATGAAAGTTTGCTGTTGATCTAAAATATAAGTACGATGGCAGGCAATTTTTTTTTTCAAATTTTTAATTAAATATAGTTGATACACAATATTATATGGGTATTAGTGTACGATATAGTGATTTGATAATTATATAATTACTAAATACTCACCATAATAGGTATAGTCACATGTATACTATATATAGTCAGTATACAAAGTTATAACAGTATTATTGATTATATTCCCTATTTATACTTTTATCCCATGACTAATCTGTTTTATAGCTGGATGTTTATACCACCTTATCTTCTCTTCAGCTATTTCACCCATCCCCTCACCCTCCATTGTACAGCAACCACCAGTCTGTTCTCTCTGTTTGTGAGCCTATTTCTGTTTTGTTTGTTTCTTCATTTTTTTTAGGTTCCATATATAAGTGCAATCATGTTATTTGTCTTTCTCTATATGACTTAGCATCATACCCTAGGTCCACCCATGTTGTTGCAAATGGCAAGATTTCATTCTTTTTGTGGCTGAGTAATAGGCTATTGTATATATGTACCACATCTTCTTTATCCATTCACCTGTCACTAAACACTTAGGTTGCTTCTATATCCAGGCTATTATAAACAATGCTGTGATAAACATAGGAGCCATGTGTATCTTTTCAAATTAATGATTTTGTTTTCTTTGGGTAAATTCCCAGAAGTGGAATTACTAAGTCATATGGTATTCCTACTTTTCACTTTTTTGAGTGAAACCTCCATACTGCTTTCCATTGAGGCTACATCAACTCACATTCCCACTAACAGTGCCATGAGGGTCCCCTTTCTCTGCATCCTCACCAACCCCTGTTATTTCTTGTCTTACTGCTTTTAGCCATTTGACTAGTGTGAGGTGATATCTCATCGTGGTTTTGATTTGCATTTCCCTGATGATTACTGATATTGAGCATCTTTTCCAGGATCTGTTGGTCCTCTGTATGTCTTCTTTGGAAAAATGTCTATTTAGTTCCTCTGTCCATTTTTAATAAGATTATTTGCTTTTATTTGGTATTGAATTGCATGAGCATAGCATTCTTTATATATTTTATATATTAGCCCCTTAAAGGATATATAATTTGAAAATATCTTCTCCCATTCAGTAGGTTGCCTTTTTATATTGTGGATGGTTATCCTTTGCTGTGCAGAAGCATTTAGCTTGACGTAGTCCCACTTGTTTACTTTTGCTTTTGTTTCCCTCACCAAGGGACACATATCCAGAAACCACACCAATGCTGACGTTCAGGAGTTCACTGCATACATTTTCTTCTTGGAGTTTTGTGGTTTCAGGTATCATATTTAGGTCTGGATCCTTTCTGAGTTTCCTTTTTTGCATGTGGTATAAGACAGTAATCCAATTTCATTTTTTTGCATGTAGCTGTCCAGTTTTCCCAAAACTTTTAGTGTAGAGACTGTCTTTTCCTCATTGTATATGCTTGCAGATGGCATGGATTTTAGATCAGTGCCGAAGAGGAGGTAGTCAATTAATTCATGGCCAGAACAAATGAAGAGTGTCTGGGAGTGAGCCAATAATGACTCAGCACCTCTGGAAGTTGATGGGAAAGTCTGAGGTCTGCTATTCCACCTGCTGTTAAAGTTTGATTTATTTCTCCAGGAGTACAGACAGTCAAGTTCCACAAAGGGCGAGGGAAGTAGAGTCAGATGAGTGTGGACAATACACCAGCATCTTAAAGAGTTCCAAACTAAAGGCAGTGGAATGTCCATTACTGAAAATCCTCAAAGTTATTCTTCTTACATCTTTGGCCATTGGTTTATCTTTTACTGTAAGTGATGGAGGCTAAGATGCACATTTTCTTATCTCCATGGCCAGGAGTACACCAGTGATTCTTATTTGTAGATGAGAAATTATTACTGTTTCTGGAAGAAAATCACCAGGCAAGTTTGTCTTCTGCTGAATACTACAGGCGATAACTAGGCAGAAGACTGCATTCACTGAAATGATCTGCACTTTACCAGATACTGGGCCATAGAAAAGATAACAGATCCTCTGTCAGAACTTTCGGTTAAAACTCAAGCAATGAACCGATAAGTAGTGTCTGGCTCCTTCCCCACTTCTACCTATGTCATCTTGGGGAAGTTACCTTTTTCTCATATGTAAAATGGTAATAATGATAGTCTCTATCTCACTAGGTTGTTCTGAAGATTAAATTGAGTTAATCCCTATAAAATATTTAAACAGTAGCAGTTTATATAAGCACTCATTAAGTAGTAGCAAATAGAACTAGCTTTTACTCTTCCCCCTACAGGAAAAATTACCTCATAGTAACTTGGTTATTAAGTATCAATAAGTCAGGCAATTAGGTAGGTCTCTTACTTTATTCAGATCTCAGGAAGACTAGTTAGTCAGTGTTGCACCAAACACCCAAATAGCTCTAAGGGAAATCTGGTCTCATACCTCAAATTGCAAGTAAAGTTTGAAAAATATACCTGGAGAAAATAAAGAAGTTTTTCAAGTTATTCTGCACCTCCCTTCTCTCCTAAAACAAATGCCTTTTGCAACTCAACCAGCCCTAATGAAGAAGAGGGCTTAGTGTTGCAGATCCATCAGTTTGCTTTTAATGATTTCTTGAGATAATCTTGGAAACATAGACTCGCAAAGCTGAACAGGGCTTTTATTGTCATTGAGTTCAAAATTCGTATTTTACACTTGAAGAAATTGTCTTCATTTGGACTCTTTAATTAAGCTCTTCCTTTCCCTTTCTGTTTGAGGAGAGTCTGGAAGGGGAATGCTGGGCCTTAGCAGGTGTTTGCCAGCCAGACGCACTCCCGCGTGCTTGCTCCTGGAGTAAGCGCTCACGGCAACGCGGGACAAGGCCTCGATGACTGTGCTTTGCCAAATGCATGGCGCTTCATCTAATTCTCTCCGGCCATTGCATGATCACCAAGCCCATAGGTACGATGCTGGCAACACAAAGCAAAATGAATCTGCTTTATTAATACAGTTGTGAACCTCTTATCAACCTTGAATTCTCAGGAATGTATTAATTTGTGACCTGTAATTAAAGTTTCCTGGACTTTACAATATTCATATAAATATGAATATTTATATCTAATAGAGCCTCACCCACAACAGTGATGAGGTTTTTCAGTTCAGATTTAGAATGACATGATGACAAAGATAAAAATAATTAGACGTAGTACATTAAATCCCTTAATAAATGTCAAAAATCCAATTCAGCAGAATAACTGCATACACCAGCATTTACAGAGCCCCTATGACACATAGGGTGGACTGCTAGCCAGAGGAAATGTGGTGGCCCAGATAGTGCAAATGACAGTTCTGGCCTGAGGTGAACAGAGAGCGCATTGTGTTCAGATGAAAGAACAAGAGGCTATGGAAAATCCAGGGCTGTGGGTTTTTAAAAACTGTACTCCTGCAGACTTAGGCTTCTATGATTTCTCAGAAGGAGAAAATCATATTGTGAAACCAACATTTTATAAAAGAGAGATTATGGTTTTACATGCCTAGGAAATGGGATAGGGGCATGTTATTGTTGTTCTAAAAATTGACTAAATTTTTACATTTCTGAAAAATGAAACAAAATATGCCTCTATGTGTGCACACAACAGATTTACTAATAATAACTGGACTCATGTCCATTATTTGTGTATTCACATATAAAAGATGGTATTAGAATTTCCAAGATTAACATGCTGAACAATTGAAATGATAAAGGAAAGTACACATATCCTGTTTATGCTTGTGATTCAGAGAGACAAGACCAAGTGAAGATTACTTTCAGTTTTGCTATACACACGAAAGTTTTCTCTTTCTGGCATTGATTTTTCTTGTTTAAATGCTGTTTGTATAAATAAATCTTTAGGACTAAGGGCTAGTATCTGTACACCATTTTATTAATAGAAGTTAGTAAGAATACAAATGGTCCAAAAGAATTAAGTAGTATCAATTTGATATGTGTATAGCTTTGTATTGCCTTGTAGAATACAGACAAGCAGGTACACACACACATGCCTTAGAACAAAACAAATCAGACACAAAATAGCAGTGGTGTTTTTTCTCAAGTACAAGGGCATATATCCTTGAATAAAGAAAATACTGATATCACTGTAGGAATTTAAATAAAATGGTAGGGTAGTTCTGGCTAAGACAAGTTTTGGCTATTCAAGTTTTCCAGTGAAATAGCTGCAAAGTTGTCTTTTGAATTACAGTACATTTCTACAGGCATCTGTATGTAATACTGTAAATGATTGTTATGAATAAATGAATTATTAGAAAATAATGTGCTCAACAGACCATTCTGACCTTTCTATACTGGAGACTTTATAATAAGTATCTTTCAACCATAGCTGCCAACCACATTAGAATAATCTGGAAAGATTTTTTCAAACATCTGTAGTCTAACTTCACTTAACTTTCATTTCCTGAAATATTAGAAAACAAAATACACAAAAAGAAATATCTGGTTTCTAGACCTTAATATACCAGTAACTGATATCTTAGGTGAGTGATTTAATATTTTGAGTGCACATATTCATCAATAATTGTGTTTCCTCATTTGCAAAATATTAAATTCTTATGGGGTTGTGGGTTTTTGCGAGCATTAAATGAGATAATGGCTGTGATAGGGTTTCAAAATGCCAAAAATGCCACACAAGTGTAAAGTTTTATTATTGTAATTTAAAAAAAATGTTTCACTCTATAAATATTTTCTTTTTTATTGACTTTTTACCATCTTAGTCATTTTGAAGAGTACAGTTCAGCTCTGTAGTGTTCTATCCATCAGTATTATTTAATTTATTGAAATATAATTAGCAAATAAAATCTTAACATATTTAGAGTATACAATGTGATGATTATATACAAATATATGTTTTGAAAAGATTAGCACATCGAATTAATTAACACATCTGTCACCTTGTAATTTACCTGCTTTTTGCTTTTTGGGGTCTTTCTTGGTGAGAACATTTAAGTTCTACTCTCTTAGCAAATTCCAATTATATAATACAGTGAGTGTTATGAAGTACAGTGAACATGTTTTACATTAGACTGTTAGACCATATTAATATTAAGCTGAGAGTGTATACCTGCTTACTGCCTCTTCCTATTTTCTCCATTCTCCAGGTCTTGGCAATCACTTTTGTACTCGATTAGTTCAGCTTTTTATTTATTTTTTTTTAAGATTCCAAATATAAGTGATACAGTGAAGTATTTCTCTTTTCTATCAGGCTGATTGCACTTAGCATTATGTTCTCCAGGCTATCCCATATGTTACAAACAGCAGGATTCCTCTTTTTAAGGCTTAATAATATTCCATATTATATATACACCATTTTATTTATCCATTTCCCTGTAGATTGACACTTAGGTTGTTTCTATCCTTCATTATTATAAATAATGCTGCAATGAACATGGGAATACAAATATATATCTTTTAAATAAGATATAGTGGGACTGTACCTCAATATAATAAAGCCCATATATGACAAGCCCACAGCTAACATCATACCCAAAGGTAAAAAACTGAAGACCTAAGACAAGGATGCTCACTCTTATCACTTTGATTCAAAACAGTACTGGAAATACTAGCCAAAGAAATTAGGCAAGAAAAAGAAATGAGAGGCATCCAAATAGGAAAGGAAGTAAAATTACCTCTCTTTGCCAATGACATGATATTAGATATAGAAAACCCTATATCTGCCACCAAAAGACTATTAGAACTAATAAACAAATTCAGTAAAGTTACAGGGTACCAAACCTATTTATAAAATTCAATAGCAATTCTAGACACCAACAATAAACTATGAGAAAGAGAAATTAAGAAAATTATCTTGTTTACAATTGTATCAAAAAGAATAAAATACACAGCAATAAATTTAAATAATGGGGCAAAATATCTGTACACTGAAACTTATGATGATGATGCAGGAAAGTGAAGAAGATACAAATAAATGGAAAGATAATCTGTGTACATGGATTGGAAGAATTGTTAAATGTCCCCACTACTCAAAGTGATATACAGATTCAATTCAATCCCTATCACAATTCCAATATTAGGAAACCAAATTCAACAATAATAAAAAGGATCATACACATGATCAGGTGGGATTTATTGCAATTAAAATTAACACAAGAAGTTGAATGATCAACAAACTAGTCCTTAATGCTTCTAAAAACCAAACAAACAAACAAAATCTGGGCTCTTTGTCAGCATATCTAAATTCAGTATGGAAGCAGTCAGGGTGTATAGAATGAGAAAATAGAAGACCAGAATTTAGAGAAGCAATGACCTTAATGGAAGACAGTAGAATAAAAAAGTAAGTTCCAATAGAATACTATGCATTGTCTACACATAGTGCAGCCCTCCAGGAATTGCTTAAAAACCTTTGATTGACTTTGATCTATTTTACAACTCTTTTAAAATTGTAGGTCACCAACAGATATGCACATTTTGTTCTGTCTAGTAAAGGTTCCATTATCTTCCCTCCTACCCTGTGGAAAAACCAGTTTTGCCACCATTTACATATTCATTCCATATTCTTGATCTGTAAATGTACCTGTTTTTAAATTCTCTTTTGAACAAGTTATAAGATCTGCCTGATTCCCTCAGCAAATTAGATCTTTAAAACATGTTCACTTTTGTATTTGTATGAAAGTTATAATTTTATGCTTTACTGAAAATTATCTTTTAATAAGACCAGAGAGGAAAAGTTGGCTAGAAAGAAGGCAACTGAATGGTCATTCAGAAAAGTGAAAGGACACAAGAAGTAAGATATGTACCTGAGATCAAGGGAGGAAAAAGTTTTGGGAGGAAGGTAGTAGTCACATAACTGCGGGCTATCTGGCAAACCGAAAGAGTTTAAAAGTGTCCGTTGCATTTGGCAACCAAATAACCACTGGTATCTCTGCAAGAGTATTTTCACAAAGCAGTGGGATTATCAAGTGTAATGCAGAATGTTGAGGAATTAATAAAATGTGAGAAAGGAAAGCAGTAAAAGGAGATGTTCTTTTTCTTACACTTTTTTCTTTTGAATCTTACTCGTCTAGAACTGAAAATATGATAAATGCCCTCTGTCAAAAAATAAATAATCCATAAACATTAAAGAAATTAATGCAAACTCCACCTAAATTCACACTGACACTTTTGAACATCTTTCTATATGTTCTCCTAAATAAACACAATTTAAAATAAATAGAATTACAATATTTCTCCCTGCTGTTAGGTCTCTAACATAATCTTTTAACATCATATATTAGTAGATCACCTCAGCTGAACTTTTTATTTTCAGTGCCTATGTTGAAAAAAATGTCCTTCTGGCAAAGAAAATAGCAAGTAAAATATAAAGCAGCAAGTAAAAAATATAGCAAATAAATAATAAGATAGGTGATTTGAGTCTATCTCAATGATGGTTTAATTCTTATACCACTCACATTTATATAATATTTTGCAATTCACAAAATGTCTATTTTATACTTTATTTAAATACAAAAATTTATTTGTAACTTATTGAACTCTCAGACTCTTTGGGGTAGACTGATGAAGCATTATTGTCTTTATTTACAATGAGTAAATTGAAATTTAATATGACTAAATATTTTTTCAAAAGCTCACAAAACTAAGTGGCGACTTTTATGTTTGCATATACAGATAAACCATGTGTTATTCAAATCATTCATTCAACAATATGGCAGATACGATGAGCATAAAAATGAGTAGAAAATGGTTTCTTCTCTCCTTTCTGCAAATTCAAAGTTTAGTGAGAAAGGCTTTATAAGTCAGTATGAGAATCACTTTGAGAATTCTTGTAGGAAACGCCTGAACAAAGTAAAGGATAATAGTCATTTCTTACATGAGGATAGGATTTGGGGTGCAGATCACAATAGAATAAGTGTGTCATGACTGGAAGAAAAAGAAAAAAAAACAATCCACATCAGACAGTCTGATGATTAATAGATTAATGCCTTTGTTAGAGAGCTCTTCTTGAGAAATGGACTTGTATATAAAGAAAAATTTTGATTCCAAGACTTCACTGAATTTTAGTGAACACAATATGCAAGTCTGTGGGCTTCTTTTCAAGGTAAGTCTGTCATGTAGACACAATGAATATGAATTAGAGAGTTTTACCAAAACACTATTAAGGTATGCATGTCATCTTCAATTTTGAAGATTCATGCTTTTGGTTCTTACTGAGAAAAATTGTCTATTATTAAAGAAAAACTCTGTGAAGCTGAAATACTCAGCAAGCTCAGGCAATTTCAGCGATCTTCAAAATGGTAGAGACAAGAGGATGCATCAAAATCTGACTTGTTACAAAGATTAGAGAAATTAATTAGCACACCACAGAAGTTGGCTGACTGCTCAGGAAGTGAAGAGTCAGTGGCTGGTAACAGAAAGACAGAGAGACTTCACTTATGGAAGTCATGGAAATGGAAGAGAACTCCAGAGAAATGAAAGGGTCTGCTCTGAATTCAGTTTGCTAATATTTTGTTGAGGATTTTTGTATCTATGTTCATCAGGGATATTGGTCTATAATTTTCTTTTTTTGTAGTGTGTTTGTCTCATTCCTCCTACACTGTTGGTGGGAATGTAAATAGTATAGCCACCATGGAAAGCAGTATGGAGGTTCCTCAAAAATCTAAAAATAAAAATACCATACAATCCAGTGATTCCATTTCTAGGAATTTAACAAGATAACTATATTTCTGATTCAAAAAGATATACGTACTCCTGTGTCTATTGCCACATTATTTACAATAGCCAAAATATGGAAGCTACCAAAATATCCATTGATAGATGAATGGATAAAGAAGTGGTATATATATATAGTGGGATATTCTTAAGCCATAAAAAAAGAAAGAAATTCTGCTATTTGTGACAACATGGATGACAAAGAGGTATTATGCTAAGTGAAATAAGCCGGGCAGAGAAAGACAAATACCATATGATTTCACTTACTTGTGGAATCTAGAAACAAAACAAAACAAAATGAACAAAACAGCAGTAGACTCATAGACCCTGAGAAGTGACTAGTGGTTACCATGGAAGAAGGGTTGGGTTAGGTGGGTGGGAGGGACAGGCGCATAAAGGGGCACAAAAATTCTCAATTATAAGTTGGTCACAAGGATGATACTACAGCATGGAAAATAAAGCCAATAATTCTGTAACATCTTCCTATGTTAACAGTAACTAAACTAGAGAGGGTGAGGATTTAATAATATGGGTAACTGTTGAATCACTGTATTGTATACTTGAAACTAATATAAGATTGTATTCAGCTATACTTCAGTTCAAAAAAAAAAGAAAAGGGTCTGCTCTGAACTGAGTGCAGCCATTATCCTACTTTAGCATTGAATTATAAATTGATTTTAAGGAAGTCCTCCTACCCTACTTACATATGAAAAAAAACTTTTTTTCTTTCAAAAGACAATAGGAAGCTAATTCTTTCAAAGGACCATAGAATTACTTAGTGGCATCAGCCTACTCTAGAGATACTAGGCAATGTTATAATTTGTTGACAATATTAGGAATGCATTATCACAAAAATGTTGAGATACATAAATATCCTTTCTTCGAGGATTAGGACTTTCATTATTTTGCAGAAAAAAAATTAAAAAACTTGTTATTCAAGACTTTACTAATGATCATATCATATTTTACATCCTTTATAAAGTAACACATTCTTTAATTTTCAGAATTTTAAAATTCTTCTCTGAAGAAGATATCTATGCATTGTAAACTCAGCCTTGTGGAAATGAACAAAAAACACAACATACTAAATATCATCCCCCTGACATGTGTTACCTCTAAGTAAGCTGATCTAAATAAAGCATTATATCAACTTATGTGGGAGAAAAAACAGGAGGTTTTTTTTTTTTCATTTGCAATCACTCTACTTTTAATTTAAACAGAGAAACTCATACCTACATTGTTAGTTCAGGATCAAGAATGGTATTTTGGGCATTAAGATCTCATCCAGGAAAATAATTTATATGTAAGAGAACAGATTTTATGAATAGGAATTGGGGCTTCACATTTAATTAACTTAAAGCTTACTTGCAGAAAATATATGCCATAGAAGACTGGAAAAATGTGCACTGAAAATCACTTGCAATTGATATAACTAGAGGGATTTCTCCCATTTTGAGAAGGATTCACATTGTGTGCATTTTATAAAAATGCTATCAAATGCAGTTTGACATATAAAACATGAAATTTATAAATGACTTTAATATTTAATCTTTGATTTAGAAGTGGAAAAGCATCAATCATTGTGTTCAGTTACTTTTACATACCTGTAGCAGGCATGAGTTTTGATCTATGAACTCAGGTGAACATGTATTTCCACATTATTTTTTTTGTTGTAAATCAACTTAATTTCTATTCTGAGCACATTCCCCAAACCTGGAGAGAAACCAACTTCAGTCACGCTTTGGACTGTACCCCTCTGTCCCAACTCTTTAGGTACGCTCACATCCTGGGGTCTTTCTTGGTGCTGGTACACTGGCTGTGTCTGGAGACTGGTCTGTGTTGACACACCACTGCTGCAAGGAATCTTACTGTCCTGACCTGCTTAGTCACACCTGAGTTACCACTTTTCTGCTGCTGTGTCATATGGGGACACAGGGATGTTTGATGTGTAACATTTTTAGGTTTTTCTCATCGTGTTTTTGACAAAGATATGCCATTTCCATCCTACTTGCTAGAATGGAAGAAATGGGAGAAAAAGGTAAGAAAAAAATTAACTTAAAAATTATCTTGCCATACCCTCAAACAAGATTTTTATTTTGGGACTGTCTCTACATCCATAAATTAATCTGCTAGTTTTAATAGATCTGCCTTTAGAAACCAGCCCTTCTCCCCAACAAAAAATGAACTTAGTCAACTCATTGGACTTCTCAGACTTAAATGTAGTTCAGCCAGCAAAAGCCAAATGGAATTTATATTACACGGGGTTAAGATAGTATATTTTCTCTTTGTGTGTGAGCATGCATATTCATTATTCTTCTTTTGTATGATAAATTGCTCATGAACTCTATAAAACTATTTAAAAGTTTTCAACACCTTCAACTATCAATCTAGAAGAAATATATTATGTCTCTATTTTCCTACTCCCTTACCATTTGCATCTATATTTTTTTTGATGCCTTATTGCATCGATACACTTGTTTTGTAAAATAAGTTTTCCCTATCTAGGAACAGCTCCTTCAGGATTTTAAATGATCTCTTTTCATGGGGAAACTTACATAAAAGTGGGAGGAGGTAAAACTTCCAGCTGTAGAAACTGCTCCAATGGCTACAATTGATATTCATCTTTCCGTTCTTCTTTCTATCTTCCTTCCAATTTTGTCTTGCATCCTGCTAGTGGAAGGGTTATCTGGTGGCATGACCCAGATCCACATCACTAAGGGGTCCAAGATCCTCTTCACCAATATCCTTTTATGGTTCTGGCAGCTGTACATTTTTATGTTATCAAAATTAAGGAAGGAATATCAAGATATACCTAGTGGATTCCCTGGATAACAAGTGTATTTTCACTGCCCCCACCCACTGCACCTCCCCCCTTCCCCCACCAAATGAATAATATCAGCCTTATCTTATGAAGATCAGAGTCATTTACCCATACCTGGAAGGTGACTCCATTTCTTGTCTGATAGTGTCCTGACACAAGTGCCCCCAAAAGGCAGCATTCATAGCTAAAATTTAATGAGATTCTTTTCTAGGTGCTCTGGGAGAAGCATTTCTTTTCTGGAGACTTCTAAAACCAAAGTTCTTTGAGTCATAAGAACAGGGAGCATAAACTGTCCGATTGAGTCATTAGGAGTGTGGGAAATGGTGCTTCTCCTATTTGTAATCATAATGCCAAGACTCAAGTATATTATCTATTAGGGACATAGCATCAGGAAATGGTTATGGGTTTAGAATATACCTGTATCCTGGAGATTGGTGAGCCATTTATACAGAGCATGATATCCAAACTGGCACCTCTGCTGCACCTTCAAAAGGACCTTTCAGCATTCTTTTAGACAGGCAGCCTTTATGTACTGCAGTATATGTTAGAAATTGTAGATTTCGTTATCATATGTCCATTCCCACACCTTCTTTCCTTAAAGTGGGTTCCGTGGTTAATGCAATAATATGTGGAAAGCATAAGTAGGTGGGTGTATATATTCTCTTGGGTAATGTACTTGTTTTGATTCTGTGGATAGGAAATAAATGTAAATTCAACTAAGAATATCTATTTATTGCAGCCATGATAACTAACTGTCTCTTCCAGAGTAGAAGGGATTCAATGTAATCAACATTCCAACAAGTGCTTTGGCATTCCTCTCCGAGGATAGTGCTGTATCAAGGGCTCAACACTGGTGTTTATTTCTGACAGATTGAACATTTGACAGTGGCAGTAGTATTAAATATGTCAATATTTGATCAACAATTTTTGCTTCATACTTTAGTAGGCAAGCACTGAAAATCAGGAGGTCTATTTCTGAGCTAACACAGAGTCAAATTTTTCTGATAAGAAAGGGGAGGAAGAATATTAAATGCACCCCCCTCTAGAAAAAAAAAGATTAAACCTAGAAGATAAATTAGTCAAGAAATATCCAGTGGTAATGTTTGGACTGAAATTCTTTGTGATGTGTAAAATAAACCCTTCTTTTGCCTCTTTTAAGAAAATAAGGAGATTTATTAATATTTTTACTGCACACTAATACTAATGGTACATATTTTCTTAGGGAATACCAATAAGCGCTTTTTCTTGCTTCAAGCCTAACTTTAAACAAAAACAGTGCTGCCACTACAGAGATTTCACCATACTTATATATGAAAAAATGAATGGCAAAACCTCATAAGGACATTGTTGAACAACATTTCATAACTGGACTTTGTATTCTGGGAAGGAAATTACTACCTCTATCTCTTTATTGTTTTATCTGTAGTACAGAGGACAAAATACCTCAGATATATGTTTCCACTTGTGTTAATGAATAAATCAATATAATTGTACTGTTTACCCTGTGTAATTGCACATATATACACATGTTTTTCATTCTATATGAGTTAAAGAAAACAAAATATACTTCATTTAGTTGCTATTAATGCATCCATCTGTTCAACAAATGTTTATTGAACCTATATTCTATTTTAGGCATTTTACTGGTAATCAGGAATAGATAATATCTTCCTTGTACTTTTAATCTAACAAAGAAATATATCCTTAAGCAAAAATTAAAATACAGAATGGCAAGTGCTACGATAAGAGATACACAGGTGCTGGTACCCAAATGTTGTGTAGGTGAATTAGGAAAATTAGAAGAGGCTTTTGCTAGGAAATAGTAGACTTAAACTATACATTAGGACACATGCACTTTACAGACATTTATAAAACATTCCATCTGACAGCAGCAGAATACAAATTCTTCTCAGGAAGTGTGATGCCTCCATATTTGTCCTTTATTATCAAGATTTCTTTGACTATTCAGGGTTTTCTGTAGTTCCTTGTGAATTAAGGAGTAAATATTAAAAATATTTAAATAACTCATTCAACTCAATAGCAAAAAACTAAAAAAAAAAACCTGATTAAAAGGGGGATCAAATAGACATTTTTCGAAAGAAGACATCCAAATGGTCAACAGGCTCATGAAAAGGTGTTCATTATCACTAGTCATCAGAGAAGTACAAATCAAAACCATGAGATATTATCTCACATCTATTAAAACAGCAACTGTCAAAATGACAGAGAACAAGTGTTGGTGAGCATGTGGAGGAAAGGGAAAAATTGACAATTTTACTTGTCAGTTACAGCTCAATAAACTTGAAATTTAAAAATTATATATATATATATATATATA